GAATTAGCCCTATTTATTTATTTTTTTCTGGGTGAAATCGCCCCAATATCACCAATACAAATCCTGTCATCAAAACCCATTTCTCTACATTTGATCAGTAGCTCAGAAAATCCAGCCGTCTAGCTGCCCTGCCTAGGAGGTTGCTAAATTGAATTTTAAAATTATTTCTATTAAGCAAAAACTTAACATATACCAGCTGCTGAGAGATTATAAGAGCTTTGTTTTTTCAATAATTGGAAACCTTGTTTACAGAGGACTCACAATATTCTTTGGATGTCTTTGTGTTGAATATAAAAGAACTTGTGTTTATCTAGGCAATGATAATCTGACTATAAAGCAAACTCATTTAAGGATTATGTTTCCTGTCTCTCACTGTGCAGCTGTCACCCGACTGTTTCTTTCAAGCTTTGCAAAGTGCTGAGAATGTGTCCTTAACATTAGAAGGAGGCATTGGAAATTAACCAGGTAGCTTGGAATACACGCGCTTCTAAATGACAGGGGAACAGTTGAGAGAGGCAGACTGATCCCTGGTTCTCATTTGTTCACTCGTGGACAGAATTCAGTCATCACAAAGAGATTTTAAGGCGTTCAGTCCTGGCAAAGAAAGCTGCAGGACAATTTGGACAGTCCAGTATGTAAGTGAAGGGCAGCGCTGTGCCCTAGCGATGGAGTCGCTGGCGCGGTTGGTGTCTGCTCTGAAGAAGCACCCGGGAGTGAAAGGGTATGTGCTGGGTTTGAAGCCAGTTGCTAGTCCTGTGACCTCACGCTCATTGTTTAGCGGTTTTCTGTCGAATAAGAGAGCTCATGTGCCCCCCAGTGTTGTTGGGAGGCTTAAATGAGATAAACATGGGAAACCTAAGGACATTCCTGCACAGAGTAGCTACTCAATAAATGATAACCTGTTACCGACTGTGTTCCAAGCCTCACCGTTTTTATATGCATTATCTCACCCAATCTTCAAAACAGCCTTATTAAAGCAGCGCATTTTTGTAACTCCAGTTTTATTGAAAATGAAGGAAAATGAGATGCAAAGAAGTTTAATAACCTACTGAGGGTCACCCAGCAATTAAACTGACAGCAGGGCTCTGCATTCGTAGTCTTTGCCTCGCTCTGCGAACAGTCAGCATAGGCAGCCTTTGCTCTCAGAACAGCCCCCACCACAAATCTCAAATGTTTGCTCTAACAACTTACAAAAAGTTTTAGCCCATATCCTTCTTCCAGTTGAAAGCCTGCGATGACAAGTTCTCCTGTGGCAGCTGCTCGAGCTTTAGTGTGTACGCAACCCCTTCGACGTGCTGACTCAGCATTTCCGACCAGCTCCCAGGTAGCGCCCCTGCTGTGGAGGCTGGTCCCCAGGGCCACACTCTGAGTAGCAGGGCTGCCAGGAGATGGAAGAGGGTCTCTCTCATATCTCAGTGCTCTGATTGGCCTCATGTTTAAGTCTATTGGACATATTTTCCTGCCTTTTTCCCTGAGGATATAGCCCCTTAGTATTTGTTCAGGCCTGGTACCTGGGGGCACTACCAATGCAGGTCCAATTTAGAGAGTATTTTTCAAATCTTTGGCAATATTATTTCATGGTTGGTTTTTATTATTATACTAGAGGCCCGGTGCACGGATTCATGCACAGGTGTGGTCCCTCAGCCTGGCCTGCGCCCTCTCACAATACAGGACCCCTCAGGAGATGTTGGACTGCCAGTTTCGGCTCAATCCTCAGGGATTGAACCGAAACTGACAGTCCAACATCCCCCGAGGGATATAGTAGCGTGCAAAGCGGTAGGTGGCCAGGGAGGAGCCCGAGCCTGGGCCAGGCGCATGCTGCTCCCACTCATCCCAGCCCTGCAGTACCTGGTACTGTCGGTAGTGCTGCTGCAGTGGCAGGAGAGGCTTGCACCACCACAGCTGCGCTCGCCAGCCATGAGCACGGTGTCTGGCACCCGTTGGTCAGCTGAGCAGCGCTCCTGCTGTGGGAGCACACTGACCACCAGGGGGCAGCTCCTGAGTTGAGCGTCTGCCCCCCTAGTGGTCAGTGCACATCATAGCACTGGTCAACCAGTTGCTTAGGGTTTTATATATAGATGCTCAGTGTAGAAGCATAAACCAATCCCCTATTCTATTCAGCAGTGGACTGCACACAACTCCGATGAATGACTCCATTAAGTGTTAGACAATTATGTTATTGGTGTTTAAATAGTTTATATGGGGCAGAAAATCTTATCAGATTGTTGTATAGTTTTTTAAAGGCATTTTAGTAATATTTTGGATATTGATATTTTTGAGTGTTTTGTCTGCATCTAAGGGCACCTTGAAAAAAATGTGGATGCCTATGATTTTTCTAGGGTTGTTCAATTTAAGCTCTTGTGTGGTTAAAAGCTCAGTGAAGTGTGGAGATGGAGGCTGTTTCAATTCCTGTGAGCAAAAACTTTAGGAAAAGGAGAGGGTTATTGTTTGGTTTTGATCCCAGCCAGTATTTCTCTCTTTAAGTGAACAAGGACAGCTGTACAACAAAAGGAAAAGAGATCGAGTCCAACCAGGAGGGCAGGGATCAGATGGATGCCCACACCTCTGTCTTCCCTTCTCTTCCCTTTTCTACCTTTCATCTCCCCCTATGAAGGGTTGCCAGACTTAAAAAGAAGACAAAAAAAACAGGGTGCCTAAGTACATTTGAATTTCAAATAAAGGATATTTTAGTATACGTCTCCTGCAACACTGGGGACAAATTCCATGACCATATTCCAGGTGTAATCTCCCATACACAATTCAATGCTCTTGTTCTATCTGCTCATGGTTTTCATATGTGGATTTGTCCCTCAGTTAGATCCAACTGTCCTCTAGGCAGGGTCTTATTTGGTCTCCTTCAAGGCACCATAATTATTGGCTTCCCTACACGAGAGGAGGTGACGGAGGCTGCGTTAGATTTCTTAGTATGTCTTCCTGTTGCACATGCAGAGCACCCCTGAGCTCCTCGGACCCTTCCTCTCACGCTTGGAAGGTCATCACTTCACGAACGATTGCAGGGCTTAGCACAGAGTCCTGAACACAGTGAGTTTTTATGATGGATTAATGAACTGAAAGCAATTTGTTGTCTGAAGAGTCAATTAAATTCAACATTGATTAGCTAGTTACCTGCATGCCAGCAGTTAGAGGTAGGCTCTCTCCACCGTGCTGCCCATCAGGGAGGTTAGATGACTCTTCCCTTCTGGGGAGATAAGAGGATAGAGAAGAAAAATGGGTTGGAAGCTACCCCCAGATTTGCAAATGTGTGTTATGACTCAACCAAAAAGATGGAAATAAAATTGTCCTACTACATAGGGAATCATTTTAATCCTTCTCTCTAAGAATGCAGGGATATCTTGCCCATTATGCCTCATCTACCTCCACTGGCTTTTCTGGAACTAAATTTCTTCTATGCCATGTAGGTGTTATATTCAGATACCTACGGTATCATAAAAGAAAGAAAGAACTTTGAAAGCCAATAGAATGATATGAATGACGAAATGTTCAGCTCATATGGAGAAGCTCTCCGGCACGTAGCGTCGTGGTATACGTCAGATAAGGTGCCGTTTCGCACTCGGTGCTTCTGTTAATGACATGTTTTAGATCTTCCTCTGTAAGTGACACTGAGCAGGCTTCACACCGTGAAGACTGAGAGTTATGAATGCCCCCCTCTCAGTTCAGTGCTTTTCAAGTATAAAATACACAGGTGAGTGAGCACCTACGTAGAAGTGTCCAGATGATTAGTTTTATGCCAGTCAAGCTTGTCCACGCAGGATTGTGAATGTGGCCCTCAGGTTCCTGGCTCCCCCTTCCTGACCATTTCTCTCTAGCTCCCTTCTACCCCTTTGAGTCCCCTGCATCCTTTCAGGGGTGGAGGTAGGACAGTACCTTGAGATCCCACCTCTTTCCCTACCTATGAGCCCTGGCCAGGTGGCTCGGTTAATTGGAACGTCTTCGGTGCATCAAAAGGTTACAAGTTTGATCCTTAGTCAGGATGCGTATGGGAGGCAACCAATCAATGTTTGTCTTTCACACCAGTGTTTCTCTCTTTCCCTTCTTGTCTCTCTAAAATCAATAAGAGGTGAGGATTAAAAATAATTTTTTAAAAACCTCCCCATTTGACTGTAGACAGAAATAACTATAAATAAAACAGCTGCAGGCTCATATTGTACGCCGTCATAACATCAATGGAAATTCATAACTTAATGTGGCCCCACTGTTTTCTAGTCCCTGAAGTTAGACTAGAAGAACAAAAGCTGATCATGAGAATTCCTGCTCATTTCTCCCCAACTCCAACACCAGGAACATCGGAAAATGAAGTTCTTGTGAAAGTAGACTAGTCTATATGAGATAAAAATTCCATGGGTTAATAACCCCAAGGCAGATGCTGTGATTGGGAAATCTTTTCTGAAAGGCTTGTGATGTTTGGTAGAGTCATAAATCTTATCCTCTGCATCTATATCTCTGGTGTCAAGTAATTTTAGTCATTAATCATTTGTTGAAAAAATAAGAATGTTAGAATATTGACTTTGCATGGGAAGGGACCAAATGAAAGTTATTTTTTAACCCAGATGCACGCTTCATTTTTATTGTAAATACATAATGAAACAAGTGGGTGAAGATTGAAATAAGTGCTCATGTTTTATTCATGCTAAAAATATTCCTTGTATCCTTCAGGATGAAGCCTTGTAATATCTTTATAAATTCCCTAATATTAAAATAAGCATCACTTTGTTTCCTTTGAAATTCTTTTATTAGATGGTTGGGTTTGGGTGAAGAAGAAGCCTAAATGATTAGAGCAATATGATGATTCTAGAACTTTCCTACCCCAGACAGGGGAATGTGTTGGTTAACTCCACAGATTCATGGATCTCTAATTTTGGGAACAAAAACTGTAATAAAATTACGACCAGGACTCCAACTCCATTTGTTTGAAAAGCATTTTTATCTATCTGATTTGAATTCAAATGCATTATTAATATTTTTCTTCTTTTTTAATATAGGTGGAAAACAGACCAAAATATTACGGAAGAGAGTATGTATTATGCTATTCTTTGTTTTAATAATGTAGTAAGGAGTCAATTCATATGTCATTTAACTATAAACATTAAGAAGCTTCTAATATAAGGTCTTCATCAAATGTCCACTGTGCAGGAGTCTAATACGAATGATAAATGTAATGGGACCCCTTTGTATTGCATTTTCTTTCTAAGACTCAGGTGCTTGGCTTCTGTTAATGTGGGAGGGGGAGTCTCCTGCTACATACACCCCTCTCCACAGAAGCAGCCAATGAGGCCCAGGCAAGTGTTTGAAACGTGAGGCAGCATTTTCCATAATTGAGACTTTGTGTTTTATTTCACTTTCTATCTCAATGTTATATAAACATTTAGGGTGTCAAAGATTGTAAACTGTGGCTGAACTTCTATCTTTCATGCACCCCAGTAAATGCAATACTCAGGAATGTCACCCCCACATCCCCACAGTCTCATAAAACCAAAATGATCATTTCTCTTGACTTGGCTATATTAGCTAAATTGCCTTAATACCCTCATTATTTCCTCCCATTTTCCTGTTCATTTTTAGTCTTGTTTTGCTTCACTCCCTCAGAAACCTACTGCAAAGCAAATAAACATCATTATTCAGTGGTTAAGTCTGAGGCCTCGAGAGTAGCTCACAGGGCAGGCAGCACAGGCTGAGCAGGGGCGGCTATCAACTCGCTTTCTTCCCATGTCCAACTGGAGAAGGCCGTAAGGAGGCCTAGTCTCCTTTAAGTCCACCTCCCAAGCTCTCCCCACCAATCCTACACCTTCGTCCTCCATCCCCGTACCCATCAGAGCTTCCTCTTCATGATGAATGACCCTCTTAGTTGTCCCGGCCCCCAACCACTTCCTAATTGCCACGGCTGCATTTCTGCGCCTCTTCTCCAAGCTTGGGGATTCAGCGGCCCCTCTGGAGCACCTGCGGGAACCCGGCCTCCGCTCTCATCCACCCCATGTCCCTCACGTCCCTAATGCCCAGCCTCGTTAGATGTGTTTGTGCCTTTTTCCCCTTCAATATGCTGATCTGGATTTTGCTCCCAGAAAGCACAGTTTATAAAACAAGAGAAAATGAAAACCGCCATATACTTCTCCAGTTGAACAGTGTCCGACATGAATTCCAAAAGGACCTCCATTTATTTTGCAGTTTTTATCTTTTGCAAGAAAGTTTTGTTGAATAACCCTCTCATTCTCACCCTCCACCCCCCAAACCTCGTACACGCTGCAGTGAGAGGAGGCCCACGGCACATTTCCTTGACCACATAAAAGGAACATGTATCAGAGGGAGATTCACTTCAGAACTTAAGGTTCTGTATTTCCCTTTCTTTTTTCAAAATGAAAGCTTTTCTGTTGTTGTTTTTGTCCCATTCCAAAAGTAATGCTCTATTCAAGAAACATGTATGTTTTTTTTCTTAGAAGGAATCACAAAAACTGTTGACAATGGCACATTTAAGGAAAGAGAATATTTATTTACTATTTTATTTTTATTTTGTCAGTGGCTTTAACTTTTTTGAATTTTTTCACTGTGCATAGATATTATCTTTGTTCTTAAAATTTTTAATAAGTTAATACCTTCTAATTCGGGGAAGTTAGCAACTATGGGACTCTAGATGGTGCACAACACCCATCAGCTGACCATGAGCGAGACCATGTGAACTTCTTACCTCCTCCTTCCAGCCTCTGGCCTCACTTTCTTTTCACAAAGTGAGACATACACGTCATGGGTATTTTAAATTCCATGCATAAAGGGGAAGAGGAGCCACGGACGGGGTCCTCAGATTCACAGGCCTGTGATTTCCTTTTGTGGAACAATTGATTTGAATTTGGTTTTGACACTGCATAGGCTGCTGGTCATCACTTAAACACATCAAGTCAAGGTCATTAAAACTTACTACTTTCAGGTTAACTGCCTATTAGGTATATTCCTCCACCCCTGAAAGAAACATGGGGCAGGGGCGTCAGGTCCCTGAGCCCTCTGGGTGTGCCTTGTCCTGCTCTGGTCACCCCTGCCCTGCCCTGCCCTACCCTGCCCTACCCAGACCACGGTCAGTCACACGGTCAGATTGTGTTCTGGACAGCCCAGCCTCCAACCTCCCGTGACACCTGCTTTTGTCCTTTCTGACTCCGGTGTGGGAACCTTCCTGATGCCCAATGTCCCTTCTGCCCTCTCCCTCTCCCACCCTCAGGGGCCCGGTATCAGGTCTCTTTGCTCAGGCTGTCTGTCCAGCCCTTGCTGGCCCCAGCTCATGCCACATAGGAGGCTTCCCCATGAGGTTGGCAGGGTCCAGTGGTCACACTCACAATCCAGGCCCCAAATCTCGCTGCTCAGCTCCAGGAGCCTGGAGAACTGATCTGCCGGTTGCAACCCCACGCGTGCTCTGCAGGGGCCACTGGGACCCTCGGAGCTCGGCTCTGCACAGACCCCTCCAGGTCTCCCGCTAGACCTGGCGACACTAGCCTCCTTTAGGGCAGGAGGGTGGCTCTATGTCACAGCACACTGAAAAACAGTGCTCCAAGATCATGCACTGTCCCCCAACTTAATCTTTGCATTCCTGGGGGAAAACCCAAAACTTTCTTTCTAGCCGACTTTCCTCTCTCCCTGCCCTTTTCCAGGAAGGAACATTTTACAAACATATCACTAAGCTATTACTTCCAAAATTTAAATGTAGAGAAATAGAGAAATGTTTATTATAGCTGGCCATCCTTTCCAGAGAACGAGCCTCTAATATTACCAAATGTTAACACGCACACATGCGCGCGCACACACACGCACACACACACCCTCCCCTGAAGTAAGCAGGTGGATAATCAATAGTGTTCATTTGCAATCAGGATAATACATAGTCTCTGTGTTGGAGCAGAGATCTAAGCTGGTAATTGCTCTCATGTTACTCCCCCTGGTTAACAAAGGAGCCATAACCTGGCATTTGTTTCCATTTTAATGTTCAGCTTGTGAGCAAAAGCAGCAGCAGGAAGCCAGGTGGACCGCGGGTCCATTGTGTTTGGCCTCCTGAATGCGTATGAAGGGTGTGGGTGCATGCTGAGGGGTGGCTGCTCAGCTTCCCTAGATGCACAGTAGTCACCCAACTGGGGGGCAGGGATCCCGGTGGCCCCGTCATCTTTGTAGCCATCTCTGCGTGGTCCATGCTTTGTGTGTGGTCTGTTCAGAGCACCCTGGTCTCCTCTTCCCTCAGGTTCCACGGGATCATCTCTCGGGAGCAGGCTGACGAGCTTCTCGGAGGCGTGGAGGGCGCGTACATTCTCAGAGAGAGCCAGCGCCAGCCGGGATGCTACACGTTAGCTCTGCGGTGAGCGTGACCGTGCCCACTGTCACACTTGTCTTATGGGTGACTTCACCTTTCCCATGTTTAAATTGCTGTGAATATGACCATTTTAATTCTTTTCACGCCTACAATTAGTGGCATTAAGGATATTTTCAATGTTGTGCAAGCATCTCCACTATCCATTTCGGGACTTTTTGATCATCCCGAGCAGAAACTCTGAACCTATTTAGCAATCACGTTGTACCCCCCCCCCCGACTTATGCTTTATTTTCCCTGGGTTTACAAAGCACCCGAAATGTGTCAGGGGTCATCTGCCCGAAACACTGAGCCAGCTGAGAGAGAAAGGCTTTGGCTCAGCGGGTCCCCAGCAGTCCTGGTCAAAAGCCTTCACCTCATGAGTGTGTGTGTGTATATGCACATGTGTGCACGTGTGTGTGCGCGTATTCCTGAGCGGACGTGCAGTTTGTCCATGGCGTTGTCTCGGGGACCACACCGACCCAAAGAACTCCCTGTGGCCCTCATGATGCTCCATGCCAGCGAGCCCTCGGAGCCAAGCCCTCGAGAGCCTTTTCCCACAAAATCACAGGCTTGAAAATTAGAGCCCTTGACATGCATTCACCGCCCTCTCCTCAGCTAGATCCCTGTATGTCATGTCATTTGTCCTCATAGCAGGCCTCTCAGATTTGGGGAAAGCATCCAATTTCCAATTTCAGAATTGGATTATCTTTCAAAAAAATCATTCTGTGAACTCTGGAGTTGGGAAGACCTTCACCGTGGAGGGAAGGGTATAGATGGAGAAGCTTACCGGCCGGCCCACAAAGGCATGTTCCGTGCTCCGTCTTCTAGATCGTTTGTCTATGGAGAGATCCCTCCCACATTGCAACCAGGGGTGGCTAGTTGCATGTCGTGCGTGATGCCATTAGGAGGAAGCACTTCAAAGCTGCCCAGTGCTGGGTGTGCACAGTCCTCGCCTGTCTTCCCAGCGCCCCACAGCAGGAGCTGCAGGCCCCGTGCGAACCAGGCAGGAGCCGTGAGATGTAGGACCAAGGCCAGGGGGACAGCCAGTCCGAAAGGGAGAGGATGCTCTAAGCGAGATCCCAGGGGCGCTGGCAGTGGTGCTGCAAGCAGGGGCTCAGCACACAGCCCCTCGTTTTCTTAGCTGGACTGCCTGGGAGGCATGCGGGGGGTGGTCAGAGCTGGAATAGGAAGGGGACCGCGGGGCCAGGCGTGGAGCTTCCCTTGCAGAGGCAATTGGCAGTAGAGGGGAGGGAGCATGGGGCATGGCTACTTCCCATGAAGAACCTTTATAAGTAAGATATATTTGTAAATCAGTGGCTACCCTCTGACTTTTACAAATGAGAATGATAAGGGCCCCAGTGGCCTTAGTGGTCTCTAGGGTTAAATGACACCGTGTGTGAGCTGGGGTTAAATTTCCAGGCGTGTAGGCTCCAGCAGGTACCCCATCTCTTCAAGTCTCAGTGCTCTCAGGAGTGAAACAGGGATAATGCCTGTGACAGTCTCCAAGGGTCTCTATGATAACCAATGGGGGGAAACCATGCCCAGTGCTCAGCCCGGTGCCTGGCAAATAGGAGACGCTCAAAGAAAATGCTGGCTGCTGTTATTCACCAGTCTTACTTCTAACACTGTTCCGATGCCCCCCTGGCTCCCCTCCTCGCAGGTTTGGAAACCAGACCTTAAACTACAGGCTCTTCTACGATGGAAAACACTTCGTGGGCGAGAAGAGGTTCGAGTCCATCCACGACTTGGTCACAGATGGCCTGATAACACTGTACATAGAGACAAAAGCCTCCGAGTACATTTCCAAAATGACCACAAACCCCATCTATGAGCACATCGGATACGCCACGCTACTCAGAGAGAAGGTATCCAGGAGGCTGAGCCGGTCGAAGAACGAGGCCCGGAAAGCGAGCGTCACAAGTGAAGAGCACCCCACAGTTGAAAAGGTAAGAGGCACCTGTGGCGGAGACAGGGTCTGTGTCTTTATGCTGAAAAGCCGGGTGACTGATCGTATGTGTGGTTTGCCAAGATATTGGAGGAAACCCACCACCACCCTAAGAACTCTAGAATTTTAGTGCTTAGACATCTTCCAGTTCAACCCTCCCATTTTACAGATGAGGAAACTGAGACCCAGAAGTGTTCAGAGATTTGCTCAAACTCAGACAGTCAGTCCCAGCACCCCCACAAATAATTATCTGTGGGTTTTTTTGGGATTTGAAAGGAAAAAACCCTCCATGGATGTTGTATGATGACAACAGTCACCTGCTTTTAATTGCATGAGAGGCGTTACAGGCTCCGTCTAGATTGCACCCAGCTGGCCAAACCCGTGCTGTGTGTGGCAGCTTCTCGGAGGACCATGTGCACATGTGCTCCACGGGCCTGCCGGCTCGTAAAGGTGGTCTTACCTCGGTGACAGACTGTACTGACACTGGTGAGCCTTGTGGGTGACGCTGGCTACCTCCCAGAGGCTTAGAAAGACAGACTGTCTTTTGCCCCAAAGAAAGAGGATAGAAACTCCCCCTGGGTGAGCGGTCAAGCTGGATGTACCTGCGGGAGGTGGCAGGGAGATGGGATTTTCCTCTCCGGTACCTTGCGGTGTGTGGGGGGACTTGTTGGATGCGCCCCTTTCAGAACCATCTGCTTTGCCTGGTCCTGTCTGTTGGCCACTGACAGAAAGTGACAGCCGGCCACACCCATCAGCCCCCACGGAGTCTGTGCCGGATGCAGCTTCTAAGGGGAGCTGGGACGGGGCAGATATAAATAAGGGGGCAGACCCTGACACAGCTCCTTCTGGTGGTCGCTAATCCTTAATTAAACCGGAACAGAATCCCCACCGCCCCCGTTGTCCAGTGTTAGCCAAAAGCAAGGGACCGTCAGGTGGGCTGGTGGGCTCTGGCTTTGGCAGTGGGGATGCACCAGGAAGCACGGGGAGGGGCAGATGGGGCAGCACATCCTGTTGGCAGACTGGAGGGTGATTTCAATTGATTTGCTAATTGAGTTTGAGCACCTTGAAGAACCTTCCCAGAATCACATCGGTAGAGCAGCTGGCCCAGGGAAAAAAGTAATTTGCCATTTTCTTTGGATCACGCCAGTGTCTCCAAAGCACCTGCTTATTTTGTGTTTTGTGTTTTTTCCTAAATAATTGACTTGGGAAACGGTGGGGTTTCTGATCGTTTACCTTTTAACGGAGTACAGAGAGGACTTGAGTCCCAGCGTTCAGAATCTGTTCCTGTCTGGGCGAAAGCCATTCCGTAGTCTGTTTGGGAAATCTGTTCCAAAGTCACTTAGAATAGAAAATCTGGACGCTGACCTTCCCGGCCGTGAAAAATCAGAGGATGGATTGTGAAATAAATCTCCGAAGCTGTGTTGATATTTCTGAATCGGAGAGTAATGCCACCCAGAAAGCAATCGGTTACAACTGCAGGCTGTGCACTGGCGCGTGTCCGGGAGAGAGATGAGTGGGAGCGCGCACTGGGGGGAGGAGAGTTCAGAGCTGGGTATTGGGGTTGTTATTTCTCCATCCTTTTCTCCCCTGAGAAGTTCCATCAATAGACACCTATTTCTCTAGATGATATTTCTATAAGGAAACTTGTGCGACAAAATACATCCCTCACTCTATCAAGGGTGGGGAACCCTTTTTCTGCCAGGGGCCATTTGGATATTTATAACATCATTCGAGGGCCATACAAAATTATCAGCTTAAAAATTAGCCTGCTGTATTTGGTCAAACATTTCATTAACTCACCCCTAATGCCTTGGCAGGGCCAGACCAAATGATTTTGCAGGCCTCTGTGGCCCACGGACCAGACATTCCCCACCCCTAATATAGATCATCTTGTGTGTATTTATTAAATTTAACATTTGGAGGACATTAATAATCAGGGTACTAATCCCTTTGCATGAGCCACCAGGAAACGGTGAGGAGATGCTGAAGGAAGACGTCCGTCCACACGCAGGGAAGGGTTTGGTGGACAGGTGTCAGTGTGTGGATTTGCTTGGACGCTAATGATGCCACGTGTGGCTTTCCTGGGGGCACTCTGAACACTGGGCTGGTCACTCGCCGGGGGTCACTCATTCTGTTGGTGGGCGTGTTAAGTAAGTTGGTACAGATACACCCATTTCTCTCTGATCTGTATTGACAAGTGGCATTATTAAAAGTCTCAGTCTTGCCAGCAATTGTTTCCCTGACGGGCAGGTCAGTGCACTGTTGCCATGGAGGCAGTGACTAGAAGAGAGGGGGCAGAAACTTGAATGGATTGACGGGGAAGTGCCCGGGGCCCTGTGTGCTTCGGTCATGGCGCGTCTTGGAGGTTTTAATGAATGGCGTGTGTACATTTTCTAATAGTTCTCCAGTTCGGACAGCCTTGCATTTCATTTTTCGGAGTTCTTAAATGTGGTTCACCCTTTTATTTTATTGATCATTTCCAAATAATCCAGAGAGACCAGCTTCCCTGTACATCTAAGAATGTTAAGTGTTAATTGTCAGAAAGTTATCACCTGCTCCCTTGGACTTGAGTGGTTTCCAGATTTCTCTCCTGTCAAGGTGGCTGGCAGTGAACTGGCCTTTAATAACTTAGATGAGGTAGAGAGATGGGGAGGGTGCAAATGAAGAAAAAGTGGTGGTTGTTAGCCAATAGTGATCTGTTTTCTCTCTGATCTTTTCGTAATTGATCTTAAAAACATTATGATGTATAAGGGCCACCATTTGGCACGTTTAATTAGAATGCCATTGCCCAGTGTAATTTCTTTCATGAAATGGATGTCAAAGTTTATTCCATAGATGGATTATCTACTGACCTGCAAACATGGACTATAAACATCACAGGGTTTAACATTGGTTCAGACAAGCCGGGGTAGGCGGTGGACCAGCAGGTGGCAAGAGGCACTAAAGAAGTGGCAGGCCCGGCCTGTGTGGCTCAGTGGTTGAGCATCGACGGAGCAGATTGCCTCAGCCACCCTGAGAACAGTGCATCTCCAATGCACCGCGAAGCTGTGGCTGTGGCAGCATCTCCCGCAGCCTCCGCCCCATGCAGTGCATCCCTCCCTGGGCTGAGGTCTGACTCGCTGTGGCGTCCTGAGAAGCTGGAGCCCGGGGAGGAGGGTCTTGGAGACTGTCGTGTGCAGCCCCTTTGTTCTGCACAACAGGAAACTGAGGCACCCAGCTCATTCATCTTCTGTATTTTAAAGGCATCTAGAGGTCATGGCAGCTTGGATAGAAAAATGCCTTACAGTAACCTGCAGCTGAGACATTCTCTGAAAGTTTAGATACTCGAGGAACACGAGTTATATCCAGGACTCTCGTGTGCATGACTGAGACGTGGGAAGTGCATTCAGATAGCAATTAGAGGAGAAGGTGGCCCAGCAGTCGGGCCCAGCCGGACATGGACACACATCCACTGGCATTCCCCAGAGAATTGGGTTAAGAGGGATTTCCCCAGGGCTGGCAGTGGCGGAAGCAGTTAGCTCCCCGGTGCTGAAGGGACTAGGGGAAGATGCTGGGGTTACTAGGGTCTGATGAGGGCCGGAATGGGGCCTCCCATACAGGTGGAGGGGCTCTCACAGGAAAAGGGCCCCTCAGTCAAGCAAGGTTTCAGCCCTGTAGCCACTGACCTGCACCCAAGAGGGAGGGGCAGGGGAGAAATAAGTCTAACTTTTCCCTCCTTGCACCCTTTGACCTCCTGCCTGTACCTCCCACCCACAAAACCCCTGGAAGCCAGAGGACAAAGGAGAGGAGCAGGGATGCAGTGGAAGCTGGACAGTGGGTGGAGCATGAACCGGGTCGGGGGAGCAAGGCAGAGAGTAATCGAGGCAGGAAGTGCTGAGCAGTTCTTCCTCTGTGTGTGTTAGCCTTGTTCAGATGTCAAGGTCACTGGGTTCAGAAGCCAAATTTGGCATGAATGCAAGGTGATGGAGAGGCAGCTCTTTCTGGAGGCTCCGTGTGTGTGCCCTGCTGGAGGGGGTCTTGGTCCTGGGGGTGGAGAGGCTTTGGGACTTCACTCAGGGCCCTGGTGTTGTCCCTAGCCCTGCACCAAGCAGAGGTGCCACATTCCTTTGCCAAAGAAGAGCCGGTGTTGTTCATGCAGAAAGCCTTGAGGAGCTGAAAAAGACCCCTGGCAGTACAGGGTCGGGAAAACCTGTAGACTTGCTCCTCGGGAGGCCCCTTGGAAGTACCATGTGACTGACATAACCGGCCTGTTCACAGGCATCAAGGATGAATGACCATAAGCATAACTTCGCTAGTAAGTGTGACAGGTGCAGTAATGGCTCTGCCCATCCATCTCCCGGCTCACGCACGGGTCATAAAATGGAATGGGATAGAATGCTGTAGGAATGGCTTTGAACTTAGATTACATTTGCTCATGAAACCAGCCTTACCGAGCAAGCGAGCATTATCTTGCATCAGAATCCCCCGATGGTGTGGGATTTATCATGCAGCGAGAAAAATAGCTGCTTCGGTTAGGTCAGGGGTTCCCAGACTGGCTGCTGGCTAGACTCAGCCTGGGAGCTTTTAAGAAATACCCAGGTTTGCCCTTCCTGGTTGATTGAATCAGAGCCCCCGCTGGCCACCTTCAGGAGGCGCGATTTTTAAGGTTCCCCAGGTGATTGCAAAGTTCTCAACCCCTGGTTCCAGGAAAGGTCGGACGGGGGAGCAAGGCTGTCGGACACTTGGGGAGCATTTTCTTTTAAGGATGCCTGTTCCCCCTCCTTGCATGCTTTTGTTCTTTCTGTGAACCCTCTATGTTCTAACGGAGGCCCTGGCGTTCTTTCCCTCCTGCTGCCGTCACCTAAGTCCTCCAAGAGAACACTGTTGAGAGAGTGGGCCTGGTGGGGCAGGTTTCCTGAGATGGGGTCAGAGGATGGCTCTGCGCCTTCTTCCTGGCTGCTTTTCCAAGGCCGTTGGCTAAAACTGAAACGATGGAGGGACACTGACTGTAGTGAGAGAGAG